GTGGCCTAGGCTGGACTCAAACCCTTGGGCTTAAAACATCCTCTCACCTCAGCCTTCTGGGTAGCTGGGGCTACAGGCATGCATTACCATTCCTGGCCTATGGTGGCTAATACCGATTTCAAATATTGAACTAGCCTTGTATTCCCAGAATAAATCCTGCTTGGTGTATAATTCTTTTGATATATTGTTGAATTCTATTTACAAATTTGTGTTATAGATGTTTGCATCTATATTTAGCCAGTAAACTCTAAAGACTGCTTTTTAAAAAACTATGATAAAATTCAATGCCCAAAGAAGAAGGAGGGCAACTCTCAATAAGTATAACCAGGTAGATCTGGAGTCAGAGCTGGAATGCCCCAAAGGGCATGGATCTGAGGGAATTTGAAGGGAATCCTACAGAAGCCAGCCTGTTGGTGGCTGATCGTTAAGGAATTTCCTCAAAACTATGCCTAGGTTTAGGCATAATTTGGAATCCCAGGGTGCAGTGAGATTCCATACAGCCTCCCAGCTCAGCCCAGCCCTCACACAGGGCCCCCATCCAGGCTGGGATGCCCTCTCCTCCTTACAGTACGGTGGCCAGGAATTTCAGGTGCCTGCTTATCTCTCCTGAAGACTATGGGCCCCTAGGAAGTGAGGGATAGCGACAGGGGGGTGTTGTCATTCCTTACCATTTTGTTTCTCCTGTGTACTTGGAAATGAAGTGAAACACACTTGTTACACTTGTACATCAGAGCTCCTTCAAGATTAAACAAAATGGAAATCTCAAGAGTGAGTTATACATCTCCCTGCTTCTCAAACGCATTACACATTTCCTTGCCTCCTTTTGTTGAGAACTCAGGATCACTCATGAGCTCATTTATGCCTCAAATATCTATTACGGGCTTTTACACAAAAGTGAGGCACTACCTAGTATGAAGCATAGTATAATGCAATGGTTAAGATAATGGAAGCCAGACTGCTTAGGTTTAAAGCCTCAACATTCACCTTTTAACCTGTGTCCTTGGGCGAAGTACCTCCCCTCTCAGTGCCTCAGTTTCCCTATGCCTCATGGGTTTGCTGTGATGAGTAAATTTAGACAACTCATATGAAAGGAGAGAATGATGCCTGCGCATAGTAGGTCCTCAGTTAATGCTGTTGTGATTGTGGGGGGTGCTTCTGGGATGATGGGTGAGTAAAAGCAAAAGCAGAGTGCTATGTCTGTTAGCAAGTCACAGAGCCACTTCCTGATCCATCACTCCCCACCTCCTCTCTGCATTACATGTCTTACTTTCCATCAGTTCAATTGTCTCTCTCTGCAGCAATACCACCTTGCCTTAATGACCTTATTAAAAGTCTTGGTATCTAGTAGAGCAAAACCTCAACACCACTTATTTGTCAAGCATGTCTGGGCTATTCTTGGCTCTTTGCTATCCCACATAAGTTTTCAAATCAGCTTTTCAGGTTCCAGGACAACCTTACTGGGACTGCATTAAAATTATAGCTCTTTACAAGGGTACACATCAAATCTACTAAGTGTAGAGTATAAATGCCTAAACACAATAATTAAGAAAGTATGGTGAAGGCTAGTTAACCAGTTTCATGAAAATATTTCAAATCGTATATAGAACCAGCCCATTGTACCCCATAAATGCATTAACGTACACAGCTATGATTTAATAAAATAAATAAAGGTATAGCTCTATTTTAAGAACATTAACACCTTCTTGACATCCTATCTTCCTGGCCATAAACATGGACTTTATCTGCAGTTGCTTAAATATTACTTAATACTTTTCAATAAAGTTTTATCATTTCCTCATAATAAGCCTATTTATACAAGTGAAACTTCCGAGTTCACATGGAAAGACTCCTTGTCTTAATTTCCAAAGTGTTCATATAATCAGCACTGGTTTTCATTAGTAATCAGCTACTGTGATAGGACTTCAAGAAGAGCCCTTCAGCCTAAGATCTCATCAAGAAGGAGCAAAGGCTTGGAGGAAACTTCATCCATGTGAAATCTGTAATTAGTTAATTTTCTCACCCACTTGTTCAAGGGGAAAAGAAAATGCTTGCTTTTCATGCATTAGGCAGCACTCTGGGGTTTAAATGGGTTTTCACAAATCATGTTCTTCTACTCGTCCAGCAGATGCTTGCTTTTCATGCACCCGGCACGACATTGAAGACGACCAGGGAGCAAGTAGTCCCTGGATGGGCATTGCAGTAGGTCCTCGTCCTCCTGGAATTTACAATGTCTCTGTAGACAGACATCACTACTAAATTCCCCAGCCCGGAATTTCGAACAACCCAGCCACTGATTTTAGTCTGTGCTTCTCGTTTGGCACAGGGCAAGGTAACGATGCCTGAAAATGAGGTTCCTCTGCATTCTCCCAATGTACTTTCAAGG